AACCGTCCTCAAAGATTTAAAGAAATCTACATCTAAAGGTTGATATATGTGCTATTAAGTGGTACACAGGCAAAGCTTATTTTATTTTCTTTAAAGGCTTAAATCACTTGTGTAGGTATATGAAAGAATAAGTTGTTTCCAAATAAAGTTTTAACGAGTGACTTTTTTTTTACGCTGTTTCACCAAATTAACCACTCTTATTGCTGAAGTGTCTGACATTTTCAGGACCTCCTACACACAAAGTAAATCACAGATTAAAAGCTTCATAGACAAAAAAGGTGATAAAATTTCACCCGCTGCGTTACCTAATACTAAAATAAAAACTATTGTCTAAAAAGTGTTTCTTATAATTGTGGGATATTTTTTACCTCTTTTTTCAAAGTAGTTTTTTGAATCACTGTTTTCCGTCATATTGGTGTCAACATAATTACATTTGCTACCCAAAGGTGAATTTTGTACAGTTTAGGTGCTGATTTTATGTTTATTTATTTTCATTAAACATTGTTTGAGATTTTTTTAAGTTCAACACAAATATATTTGTAAACTCAGGATGTGTTTAAGTGACTCAGATGTTTTTGTAAAAATAGATTAATAATTCTTTTTTTTATTTTTGCCTTGACAATTGTCTAAATATGCTCTGTTTATGCTAAATTAATTAAACCTAACCCAAGAAAAAAATTAGGTTATTTTACTTTTCTTCCTAAACTCAAGAAATATCTAATCAAAATATATCATAAATGTTCTTTGCTGATTGGAAACTCAAATTCACTTAGTTGAAAGACTCATTTTATAAAAGCAGTTTCTTAATATATGAAAAATAATTCCCCTTCATTCTATACTGCTCGCAGATCTTTACCTTTAACTTAAACCCATGGGTTTAAGTTAAAGGTGAAGGTACCTGGATTTTTTCTTTATAGAATTATCAGGTAGGTTTAGTAGATTATTGTTAAAAATAATTAAAATTGAAGCCTCTCCTAAATTGAGAATTTGTTAATTTTTATAGAACATATATAAATCTAAAAAGTAAATGTAGTCTTGTTATATTTTGGAGTTTATTAGGCTAGTTGTAGTGACAAAGACTTAATGGCAGATGATGATGACTGCAAAGATGAAGAAAGTCGATCATAAAGTATAAAAATGTTTGTTACTTTGTTGTTTATTTTTGAATTAACTTAGTGCTTATTGAAATTATTTACAGTGTAAAAGTCCACTATGGTTGTTGCAATACTGGCTGCCAAGTTTTTTTTATTGAGTATATTTTTGTTAGGCTGCGATTCGCATTCATCAAAAACTTGAATTTTATGTTATTGTACCTTTAAAAAAAAGAAGTGATAATATTTTTACCGTCATTAACCTTGTTGTCTTTGGTGCTGCAAATAGCTTAAATAGGCCTTATGGAGCAGAAGTATTTACAATTTAAAATGATAATGATAATGTATAAATGTAGGGGTTGCGGAACAGACGGAATTAGGGGGTTTCAGCCCCCTTACTTTTAAAAAATGTGGCTTTGAAAAAAAAGGCTTTAGTTTACAGCTCTCTCCCCCCCCCCCTCCTGCCCATTAATCTTTAAGGTTGTCATTTCAAAATGTTTAATCTTTGTACTAGTAAATGATGCCAAATCAACAAAAAAACATTTCAAAATTAGTAGTAATTTTTAAATAATAACATTTATTTGTTAACAGTTAATAATATTTTACCCTATAGGGTTAAGAAAATATTTAAGCAATAAAAATTAACTTAATGAAATTTGAAAAATATTTTTAGCACTCTTTCCCCTTATTATTTGCTTCAGCCACCCTTTAATTTATTTATTATATTATTTTTTGTGTTAAACCTTTTAATCAAATTTTGATATTAAGTTTAAAATATCTAAAATTATATATTTTTTATAAATTAATTATAGTTTTCTTATCAAAATTTTTTATATCTCAAACATAAAGTTAAAAAAATAGAAAAAATAAAAGAAATTAAAAGGACGTTTGTTACGAAATTATGGTAGGTTATATATATAAGTTCTAAATCTTAATCAGCTATTATCTAATTCATAACCTTTATATTCTCATTGAGCTGTATGTTTTAGCCATTCTTCTCAGTTTTATTCCATTGAGAAAGATTACTTTCCTAGACAATAAACCTTTTGATAGTCTTATAAATGCTCTTGTGAACAGCATCTAAAATTTGTTCTAATGTATGACTGAGAAACATCTGGTGGCGGTTCAAATAAACATTGAAGTTATAGAATGATATAGTACATCCATCCGAGTGATAAACAGATGTTCGACCTTTCTTGAACATAATTATTCATGAATTCCATGGAGTCGATGAAAGCTCTAAATGTTCAACCATAATATGGATCTAATGTCATTACAAAACAACTCTCAGTCACTACAAATAAAATGATACATCTTATTAAGATCTTTAAGTATGTTAATAATATTTTATCTAAAATTATTTACCTGCTTTAAATTTTCTTAGTGTGTTAATTTAAATTTTTTTAGCG